TTAGTAATAGGGATTTGGATCGTGTGATGCAATTTGAGTTGTTCTAAGTATGCAGTAATATCTTGAATTAGAGGTGGAAGAGGTAGTATTCTTGTTGAATCTGGGTTCAGACGAATTTGAATTTATTCAGTAGGGATTTGATGGAAGAAGTAGTGCTCCTGTAGGAGTCTTGCTATATCAACTAGTGCTTTAGGACTTGCTATTGGTATTGTTACATTTACTTTGGTAACAAGGTTTGAGTTAGTTGGTAGTGGGGGTTTGTTCGTAGGGTTTGCTATCATGTAATGAGATGGTAGTGGTATGTTAAACTTATATTGCTTTTGTATTTTAGCGATGAATTCTTTCGCAGAATGTGTATTAGTAATTGGAAAGGTGTACGAGTTTTCTGTTTTCACTTCTGATAGAATGTGTGGTAGGCTTTTTTTTTATACAAAATAGTCATTAGGGATATGATGAAAGCTATAGTATTCTCTTAAGATATCAAGGTATCTTCAAAATTCTATTTCATCTGTTGGGTCACAGGGAAATAGGTGTCGGACTGCTAAACAAAGATTTTGTTGTGTTGACAGAAGGTGAGATTTGGGTTTGGGGAGTTGAAAGTAATTGGATTGAATTGGCTCCAAGATGTAGTATTTCATTAATTTTTTTCAATAATTGGATAGGAAGGGTAGGCGTGATCTTTCAGTAATAGGGAATAGGTCTTTAATTTCTGTATAGTTTTAACAGATCATCAGGTACGGGTTCAAGTAGTGTTGCGAAGTATGTTTCTAGTAGTTTTTCAAATGAAAAAATTTTTTAGAGTGCTAGGACCGTGGCTTAGATGAGATTTCGATCTTGTATAGGGAGGGGAAATGGCAAGATGTTTTGGATTGCAGGGTCTATTTGGGCTAGGGTTGGTGGTAGTAGCATAAGTAATTGGATATGAGCTTGATTAATCAGTTTGCATAAGTCTTCAAATTCAATAGTGTGTTAAATTTTTGTAAAATTTTGGCAGTAGCAAATGACTTGAGCACAGTCATGAGGGCTGGTAGTAAGGAAGTTGAGATTACAGATAACATCTAGTGCAAGTTTTGTTTTAAGTTTGTTAAAGATCTGGTCTCGGTTGTGTTTATTGATGAATTGTGCATTGTGGATCCTTTTGTATTTTTCTATAGCCATTTCAAGTAGGGAATTAAACTCTTTTTGGTGTAATAGCTGTGTAGTTTTATCTTTGGTGAAAGAATGAAAGAAAGCTGTATCTAGGTAAGAAAATTTTTCTTGAATTGCATGTGGGAGGTTGTATTTGGTTGGGTTGGTTTGTGCTTTGTGTAGGAGGAAATTGGCAAAGAGCTCTTCCAAGAAAAATGCCTAGAATATGTGGTCATTATTCCATATGATGGTATTAAAGTCGAGGGTACATGCTTTGGCTAATACCAGAAAGACTGAATTAATCTAGGTATCTGATTTGTTGTTTTGGAGTGAGTGTTTGGGTAAGTTGGAGGTAAATGCATTGCTGTATGATTTCTTGGCTGGGAGGAATTCGACTGTAGCATTGGATTGTGTATCTATGTTCTTAGGGTTGAGGTCTGCTGAGTTATTTTGGGGTTCGTCTGGGGTACATTTCGGGGTCGAAGAGGCCATTGGGTTGTTAGGGAGGCTCGGCTGGAGGTCAGTTGTGTTTTGATTGTCGATCATCATGGGTACTGGCTAGGGTGTGGGAATTATCTGTGTTTGGTTGTTGTTAATTTCATTGATCGGTACTGGTTCAGATCAGGGCATGGGAATTAGTTGTATTTGGTCGTTATTGTTGTTGTTTTGGTTAGATGATGTTATAGGGATAATTGTTGGGGGTAAACTGGGGAGCCCACTTTTGTTAGAATTTTGTGAATTAAGAGGTGGGGTAGTAGTGGAGTTGAACAGAGTTGCGTCTTGTACAGTTTTCTTCCTTTTTTGAGGGGGTAGGTTGTTTGGAGTGTTTGGGTATACTGTGATATTCTGGGCGTCTGAGGTCCCGGCAGGGTCCATCAGTGCCGTGCTTATTATTGAGGGGATGAGGAAGAGTTTGAAGGATTCTGGAGTGGCAAAAAGTGTGTCTCTGTCTCTTTTCAATGTGGTGGATATTCCCGGGGCACTTGGTAATATTTACTTGCCTTCCGGCAGTAGTCTAGTTATAGTTTTCTTTATAATTAGTTCGTGGGCAGTTTTAAAATTTTGTTTGTTTTGTTTTCCTTATGATTTACAGATTAAAGGGAGAGAGTTTTAATTTGAATATTTATAAGCTTGATTTTAAACTTAAAAATATAATATTTTATTATTTTATATACAGTAATTAATCTAAGTTCTCTTTATTTTACTACACAAATATAATATCCTGCTTTTGATCTCTCCTTAGATCTTCTATTTCTGGGTTTACGCAATGACGTTGCACTGCTATCTAGTTATTATAGACTCCATTCAAATTATTAGATTATTACTCATTTAATTGCACAAAAACTACCTCTAACTAATATTTAAACCTGTCTATTATTATTGGTGATAACAATGCATGAATTTTTAACCCTGTACTGTAAGTAAATCTAGACAATCATTTTAGTCAAAAATATTAGATTTGTATAACCTGTTGTTATAATTAAAGAAAAAATCTGATTTAAATTTTTTAAATTTATTATTGTTGTCTAAGTATCTAAAATCAACTTTACATATGCTGTATATTTATAATAGTACTAATAATCCGAACCCAATAAGTTACAAAAAATTAGGCTATATATGTTCGTTACAAATAATTTAATACTAACTATATTAGTACCAATAGTCTTTTGGTCCGCCCTATAAATACTAGACTGGCCCAGTTCTAAAACAGACTGCGGGACTGGCGGACTGATTAACAGCCCTACACCTCAGTTTTTCCAAATTTAGACCAGTTACCTGCTTAACCTATGCCTTTATGTCAACTCAATAAAAAGTTTCTCATGACAATAATTAATATTTTATTTATTGCGTACATGTTAAATATCGCAAAAAAAAAATTGCAGAATCAGATTACGATTTTATCAATAATTTATTTATAGGACCGACGGTCTTTTCGGTCCATTCCAAAAAAGACAGGACCGACCCGGTCCTAATACAAACCGGCGGTCCATTGGTTTGAGTCGGACTACTTAACAGCCCTAAGACAGACTCAATCTTAAGTATATAAAGGTAAATTTATCACACCTTTGGTAAATTACCTTGTCTATTACCGTAATTTACCAATGGTAATTTACCACCTGAAAACCCTGATGTATTCTTCACAATAATTTTATGCTAAGTATATTAGTACCGATAGTCTTTTTGTTCCGTCTTATGAAATACCAGACTGGCCCGGTCATGAGACAGACCGCAAGACGGTGGTTTTAGTCGGACTGATTAACAACGCTAATTGTGTACATGTCCTAAATTTAATACATCAGTCAAATATAGCAAAAATCGCAGATTATATTTTATCAGGACTAGTGATGATGCTGGTGGATTTGTTTCATCAATTTCAACAATTCAACGCCAGTTTCACCAATAGTGGTGAAATTATTTTACCAGCATCTTTAATCTGGACCGACGGTATTTTCAATCCGTCCCAAAAAAGACAGGACCGGCACGGTCCATCTATTTGAGTCGGACCACTTAACAGCCCTATACGTAATCATGCCTTCTTTGTAATTTTTGTTCTTATTTCATTTCCGAAATTTGCTAAAGACATTTCATAATGCTATGCTCAATTAGCAAATCAAATATATGGATGCTAATCTTTCGAATAGACCATCTGCATTAGACGTCTATGAGATATTGTCAAAGTGGTTTGATATAGTAGATAGTGGTGCTGCAAAAAATGAAAATGAATTAATATAGTAGATAATGGTGCTGCAAAAATGAAAATGAATTAATAATTTTAAAAGCAATTATTCCAACACTTTCAACCGAATCGTTAATTATTTCACCCTATAAGAAAAATGTACCGGGATAGGCGGGTCAAGGTCCGGATTTGTATGGGTATTGTCTGAGTTGGTATCGTGGGAGACCGTATGCCCGTGCAAATTGAACTGTAAATGTCTCGGGATTTGCAGCAGTTTACTAGTCGAATCGGCACGGGATTTGGCACGGGTAATGATACGTAAATTCACGTACGTACGTACGTACCGTGATAACAAATAAAAACATGTGAATCAAAGATTAAAACATAAAATTTACATTAGTAATCAATATAATATGAACAAACTAAATGCATATGAAGTAAAATTTTGTGTTTTTTTTGTTAAGATAATCAGAGCAACTTCATCAGTGAAATTATGAGATATTGCACTTTTTTCTTTCGCTCTCCGCGAAACGATCCAACACGTATCACGAGCCAACACGTGTGCAACGTACACATGCGTGCCATTTGAACGGCCGTTCCGTATGATGTGATACAACGTGCCGTAATATCCGTTCTATTCCGTAAAACGTGCCTGTGAATGCCACACAATCCGTGCCATTTCGTGCACTCCCGAAACCAACCCGTACTACAATATCTTGTGAAAACACTAAAGCATTCAGAAATCCTAAGGAGCAATAGATAAACCAATAATCAAAGAATGTTCAAATAATAAAAAAATAAAATATAACCTATACATACCTTGAAGTGACATGCCAATAAAGCAACTTATTGTTAATGGATAAGAGGGCACCTGACTAAGATAATAGCAAGTTTCAGAGAAAGAGCAAAAAAATTGAGCTACTGGCACCACAGGATATAGCACGACTCTTCTGACAACCGATAAAATCACGGCCTTATTAATTAAGGGGGGATGACCAGGTAATCGAGAAGCCGACGAAAGGTCAAAAACATCGGTTTGGTTTGCCATAAATTTGAGTTTTCTAACGACCATAATAATAACGAGCGCACAATACAATATAGATGTATTTATCCAACCGAAATAAGTAGTCCATTCCCATATCATATTCTTTTTTTGACCAGAAAAACGATACCAACAACCACTGTAATAGATATTAATAAATGTGAATATATGAAGTAAAATACATCAGACCGAAGCATGGCAAATAATGTCAAATACTATTAAGAAGTAGAGATGGAAAAAATATAAAATTCACATTTTAGCGTGCATATTTTGGTCAAAATTATGATTTAAATTCATAATTCTGGCTGGAAATAATTACATTTTTGCATACCATACGTGCAATTGCCCATCTCTAATTAAGAGCATGGGCATAAAATGCAGAGTATAAAGTGTCGAACACAACCAAAAAAATTTAAAGTTATGTAAACAAATATATACTGGTGATTTGATAGAAAGCCCATGCCATACAATGCCTGTACTTTTGTTGTTCCGCATAGGCACGTGCCCGGTTGCAGACCCTAGAATAATAAATATATATACGTACGTACGTACGTACTGTACTGTACGTACATATATATGCACATCTATATATATGACAGAATTTACTATACATACCCTACAGGATCATTATGACCATACATACTATCGGCAACAGGAAGGAGAGAGAGTAAAAGAGCAAAAGAAAATGCAATTGTAAAATAATAATTTTCAAAATTACGTCTTTTATATTCATTTACGAAAATTATATGAAGGTTCTAAAATAAAAAATAATAAAAATGGACAAATGAAAATAAATATATATTAAGAACACAATATAATATAATTATAATACATGCCAAAGCTATACAATCGATAAAAAATAAAGAAGCAAGAGAAAAAAATACGATTGCCCAAGCCTTATATATTGTGAAAAAAAAAGATTAAGAAAACAGAGAAGCTATTAGATATCAAAAAAGAAGCTATCGATATCGAAAAAGAAAGCTAATGATATCTTACCACGTATCCACACAAAAAACCTGGAATAGCATCCCAAACAAGATTAATTAAAACATGACCAGAATAGCCTATATCACAGAATAAGGCAGCAAAACTTAAACGAAACGAAACACGATCTGCAAGTTCAGGATAGTATATTCGTATGAAGCCAAATGTCATACATGAGGCAACAGAAGAAATGAGAGAAATGATATTCAGAGAAATGCATATTAAAAATGGTATTTCCGCCATTGATATGTTTTTGTAGAATCATAGTTTAGAAGGAATTCACCCGATTTAAATAATTTACTAATAATTTGCTCGTTTGGTCTATATATATGTATACTGGATAGTCTCGGTAATTTTAGTGTTTGTTTTGTTCTGTTTTACCTTGATAAAATTTATTTATTTTTATTAAAATACGCTATTGTGTTTTACCACCTATACTGCATTATCTTAAAACTGATTAATTAATTGAGTGCCACCAAGAGAAAACCTGCAAATCTTATATAATAAGATTTTCAGGTTTTCTCTTGGCAAAATTCAATTAGTATACGGTGCCCCCAAACCCTTTCTAAACTCTAATTTTAACACTAAAATGCTAATTCGAACATGAAAAATGTATAATAGGTGCGAAACCACCAAAGGTCAGTTTATAATGAATAAATTTATTTATAAACACAGTAATATTCGCATAGGCTCACTATAGTTTTTAATACTTTTATGGTAAAACGTGTATTTCTTATATACAGTGCACCTATTTTAATATGTATTCAAATCATTACAATTCAATTAAATATATGAGTAGGACAAAATGAAAACATTAAGGCAGGGACAAGGAAATTATGTAGTTAAACAAAATTGTACCAAATCTAACATTTGTATCATATCGATGTCTCTGTATTCATCTTGTGTTCCTATAGGATGTTATCAGTTTTATTCGGCCTGTATATTTGACTATTAAAAAAACTGATTAATAATAAAGTTGAACGTTCTGACAACATAGTACACATTACTCTGGTTATACCGACATCTGGATATAACGACATCATAGTAAAATCTGTCTATACCGACAATTTTTTT